CTATCTCATGTATAAAACTGAGATGTTAAATTTAACATTGTTGTTTTAATTTCTACGACTTAAATTTCTAGAAAACTTTGAGGGAATATTTTTTGGGGGGAAATCGGAGTTTTTCCTATTCGAGCCTACTTCCGGTCTTGTTGACGTCATGCAGCTAGACTGGACGCAGCTCGTGGTGGGTGTGGCTTGTTTCGACACTTGGTCTCGGAATTTCGCGGGAATTCACTGCAGTGAGAAAGTGACAGGAACCGAGAAACCCGGCAAAACATTGAACACGTGTTCAGCTTTAAATTCACTGATAACCGGAGCGCGAGCTCCACACGCACACGCGGAAAAATACTCAAACCTGTCTATAGAAGCTTTTTTTTAACGGGATCAACTTTATAACTTCTAGAAATCATTGTTATTTAGTAAAACATCTAAAAAATCACGTGTTTGTGTCCATTTTAATTAAAGTAATTTAAATCGGCTTTTACTTTGGTAGGTGGAACCGGAAGTGTAGCGACCCGTTGCGTCTAACTTGAAACCGTAGAAGAAGAGGGAAGGGGCGTGTCGCTGTTAGCCTACATGCTAACCACGAGCTAAACTTCTTACTTTCACTTTAGGTGAAACGGCAGCGGGATGAGCAGCTTCCTCGAAAACGAAACCTTTCGCCGCCGTCACTGTTTCTGATGCTCCCCGTGTCGTAGATGCGGCTCCTCGACGCACTTCAGCGGCCATAAGTGAACTCTGAGCCGGCGGAGTGGAAAAGTTTGGAGCGTTAGCAGTCACCGCCGACAGCTAGCTTCAGCAGCTAGTGCCCGCTAGCATGGCCGGCAGCGGACACACGGCGAGCGAGGAGCGGGGAGCGGAGAAGGCGATGGACGACTACCTGAGGTCGATCGGGTTTCACCGGAAGAAAATAGCCAAGGACGGGTCGTGTTTGTTCCGAGCCGTCGCCGAGCAGGTAAAGTGACACGAGCGAAACCACGGCGCTAGCATCAAGTTGTGATTAGCTAACCCAGCACAGGTGACGAGCTGCTCTCGGGTCAGTTGGTTGTGTCCGAGCAGGCCACCATGTGTCTGATGTGAGCCGAATGAAAGTCAGGACACGTTTTCATATTTTCTACACGGTTTCAAGAGCAATGCTTACAACGTGTTAAACTTTACACTCAAAAGAAACTGAAATTACAACTTATCCTAATGGAGTTCTCATTGCAGAGCTGGCAATACTGACTAAAAGTTATAGTACTGCGTCATGTAAACTCCGTATTTCTATATGTGTTTCTCGTCGTCAGTTTATTATGTATATCTTCACACTGATGTACTCAAATGCAATTATATGATAAGTAAATAACATTGTACCACTTGTGTCTGAAGTCAGTGACTCATGTTCACCAGTTCCACTGCAAATATTCAGTTTCATGTATATTTTCACATTTCCTTGCGTCGACATCGTGTTAAGTTAAGTTATTCACTACTGTGACTTATTTCTGATTTGTTATCTCGGAGGAAGTAGTTTCATGTACTGGTAGTATAACTTGTTCTGTCATCATACACTGTAAATGAAGTTGGAAGACATGTCTCCACTTCCTGTCACGGGTGCAGTTTATGACAATCCAGATGATCTGGCTTCACTTTCTTCTTTAGCCAGTCACATCGTCCATGTTTTGGTTTTTTTTACGATCTGTTTTCCTCTCATTGTCCCCGATTAACTGTGATTAACTGTCCGCTGAGTTTAAATGTCTTCAGTCAGTGTAGTATCAGCTATAATTGTGCTTTTTTTCCCTCCCCTGTGTAATTATTCTTGACCTTTGACCTCTTCCAGGTTCTGCACTGTCAAAGCCTTCATGCTAAAGTTCGTACCAAATGTGTGGAGTTCCTGAAGCAGAACAGAGAGAGCTACGAGGCGGTACGTACGCTGTGGACACCACATCATATTTTTTTAAATAACACGTAAACGCAGCTTTGTTACGATTAAACCAGACGACATCCTGTCAGTGTGTGTGTGTGTGCGGAGCGTCATCAGTGCAAAGGAGCTGGCGTTGTTTTCCTGTGATTAAATACTTAGAGGTGATTCTGATGTTAGGCAGTAAAACATTTTAAATATCAATATATTAGCTAGAATGTTTGTATATAAGAAATAAATGTGTCAGTGATTCATAAGATTTGATCATCAAGCTTTTCCCAGAATGCCCTGCAGTCGGATCTCAGTAGAAAGTAAGGGTGGAATCACTTTGTAAACATGGGGCGTGTTTGTGACATTTAAAGCTCAACTTGTCATGTGGCTGCAATGCATTCTGGGCTTTTCTTTATAACTGCTTCAAAAGGTGTGGTAGATTTGACTGAACAATAAAATGTATTTCCTCTGAATGACTGATACGTCGTCTTTCTTTCACTCTGACTCCAAAAGAGTTGTATCTTCACGTTTTCTACATTTTCTACAAACTCCATCGAAATTAAATAGTGAAAAAATGTTCATCTTAAAAAATGTTTAGAGGGTTGCTTGTTATGTCGGCCTCATCTGAACGTTAGTTTACTCTCGCGACAAAATAAAGCAGTAACTCCTCACGCTGTTGGAGCTGAATCCAGATGTTTGTTTGTCGTCACTGTGTCGTCACTCGTGTCTCTTGTGTTACAGTTCATTGAAGGAGACTTTGAGCAGTACCTGTGTGAACTTCAGGACCCTCAGGTAAAACCAGCGATCGACTAATTGCACAGTTTAATCTTTCACCTCTGAGTTTGTTGCTCGGTGTCTTATTATTATTCATATTTACTGACGTTTGGATGAAACGGTGAAAATGATTTCTGTTTTTCAGCAATGGGTGGGAGAGGTGGAGATCAATGCTCTGGCCGCCATCTACAAGTGAGTGAAATAAGAACCTGTGGACAAACTGGCTGTTGACTGAGCGTGTTCAAACCGATCTAAAATAAAAGATATTTATAACATTCTTTTTACAGCAGAAAGTTGAGTCCTCTGTCTTTGAATGTTGGTGATCATGTCACAAAATATGGTAATGGGTGACAGCGTCAGGGATTTCCTTTAACCGGCTGTGGGAGATTGTTGTTTTCATGATCATGTTGAAATCATAATGAAGAAACCATAATATTCAGAACATTCAGTTTATTTTGTCACGTCAACATGTTTGCATCTCAAAGTTAAAAAACTTTCAAGTAACTTAGAAATATTTAGTTCATGTTTCTATGTTTAGAAATATTCTGGATGAATGTGTTGTCAGAGTTTTGTATTTTTTTACATTTACAACACACTGTCAGTACTTTAATTATTGTAGATTATTCACTTACAGACTCTTAGTTCAGGTTGTACAGATTTTTGAAATATGACACTTGACAGGAAGTTACATCACAGGAAGTAAAAATACCAACGAAAACTGGAGGAACATTTTTACTACAGAGTTTAAAGGGGTTTAATTAAACTTTGCTGTTAAATCATTGTGTTCAGAAAATGTTTCATTATTCGATAAAGTTGTCGTTGCTCTGCGGTCGGACGTCTGAGAGCGTCGGTCTTCCACTAACGCTCCCCTCCTGTGTCTCTGTGTAGGAGGGACTTCCTGATCTACCAGGAGCCTGGTAAACCTCCCGTCCACATCACTGACAACAACTTCAAAGACAAGGTGAGACTGAGAACATCAGAATAATGGAGCCAAAGCTAAGACGAGAGTGTGATACAGTTATGATGATACTGCTGTTGGTATAGTAACGCCTTGTGTCCACTCCACTCAAAATCAGAGAGTTGTGTTAGCACTGCTGGGATTGTGTTTTAGTCGCTTCCTTGTCAGTCACAACTCAATCCCTGTCGGCTGTCATGTCATCACGAATTAGCTTCTAGGGTTAATGGTCATTATTTTGTTTCTCGGCTACCAGCGAGGAATTCAAAGCATTTGCTAAGACTTTATTATTGTTTTTATTGTTTAGAATGATTTCCCGCCTTGTTTTTATTTCCTCTTGCTCAGGTGCTGTTGTGTTTTCTGAACGGGAATCACTACGACAGTGTTTATCCCATCAGCCGCATCAAGAACGCAGCTCAGTGTCAGTGTGAGTTCACCTGGTCGCCATGGTTACACCTGCACCGTAATATTATTATAATATAGTACGGTCTCAGCCTCACTCTGTTAACTGAATGGATATTGTTGATATACAAATTGAATTGAATGTTTTTAACATTAACATATCACAACATAAACAATGTGTGCAGTCAATAAAGATGGACCCGCCCTCTGCTGGTCATCAGAGAGAATACAGGTTTCAGGCACTTCCGGTCCCGGTCAATGACTTATATTTAAATAAAGTAGTTTCAGCCTCCACCTGTCTGTCTCCTGCAGCCATCCTGTACGAGATGCTGTACGACGGCGTGTTCAAGGTCGACCGCAGCTCTCTGGGTCTGTGTCAGCGGATCGGCCGACCCACCGACCTCCTGAGTGACGACAGCATGCCCGCCTGCGCCAGCAGCGACGGGTCCGACCTGGACACAGACGAGCCGCTCTGGTAGGAAACTTATCAACTCACTGAAAATCTTTTTTCTGTCATTTGATATTAAAATGATCTGACTCTGAAATAAAAGATGTTGCTCCACAGTGTGTTCGTGTCTTGATTTTCGTGACTGAATTTTTGTCTGTGCTACGAGTTTCCACACTAAAATTATATCTGATTTATCAGTTGAATAAACAATGCAGAGAAGATTTATATTGTTTAACAAATTGTTTATTTTCTTGTGGACATGTGGTCGCATGTGTGTTATTTTATTCATAGTTACTCATGTTTATGTTTAAACTGTCAAATACCAAACCTCAAATTAATTTCTATGTTGTACGGGTTTGAAAACATATATCTAGATCTATATATTAGTATAAATGGTTACTACCTAACCAAGCTTAGAAACCGCAGTTTGAATTATTATAATTGTTAAGTTGTTTATATCCTCAGTTAATATTTATATGATCATGTGAAGTTTTTTTTACATGTTCGCGTTTCCTTAGATTTGTATTTATGTAATTAAACGTGCATTTTTGTTATATACATGTCATCAGAGTGAGACCTGCTAACATGTCGTTGAGTTTTCATGTGAGTGAAATCTCATTGTGTGTGTGTGTGTGTGTGTGTGTTACAGGGTGGAAAATGAAACGAGTGCTAGTTCTACAAGACACAACAACCAGAGCTACAGGGTAACACACACACACACACACACACACACACACTGAATACCATAAAATTCTGTCCATACCTGCTGACCTGCCTGAAAACACAGAGTAACTGTGTGTGTCTGTCAGGGTCGTGGGCGAGGTCGGCAGCTCCCCGAGAGGGTGAGACGTTCACTGAATCCGACTCTGCTGAGAAACGTGGAGTTTGACGTCTGGCACAAGAGCAAGAGAGGTGACGCTCATTTTTACAGAACGGATGTGTAAAGTGTTCTCGTTTAGTTCTTTTAAAACCGTCTGAACAAAGACGTCAGGAAACTGACCTGATGAGTTTACGTGCGTCTGCTGTCACTAAAACCGACGTCAGGATGGGTCACGTTTTTTAAAAATTGTTATTGAAAAGTCGTTAAAAAGAAAAAGGTGAATGCATATTTTTCCCTTTAAAGCTTCGTATGTTAGCTTCGCTGAAACAAACTGACTTATTGAGGCCGAATTTATCAAACATCAAGATGTTGCTTTAAAAACATCTGGTGATCTGTGCCCTCACTATTTTTACCTTCGTTAGAGACAAACTGTTGATAATAGATTCAATATCATGTTAACTTTTTCTTTCAGCTCAACAGAAGATGGATTACTGCATTGCTGCAGGGATGCAATACACTGTGGGAGACCGCTGCCAGGTGAGTGTGTTCAGTGCAGGGTCCCCGCTGCTGCTTCCGAAGTCTAGAATTTAGTTTTGGATATTCATGGTCTGAAATGTTGCAGCGATGCAGGCGGGATGCAAATTTAGTCTTAACTATTAAAAACTTGCAATAAAGTTTTTTGTCCTTTCATGGTTCATTGTTATTTAATCAAATCTGTTTATTTTTGTGTATTTTCACATTACGTGCACAGGTTCGTCTTGAGGGCACCGGACGCAACTACAACGCAATCGTCAAAGAAGTTCCCAACGACAACCTGGTGATAGTTCACATAGAAGAACTGGGCAAGAGGTTGGTGTCACTTTCTAATGATCAGCAGCAGCGTGGATTTGTTGAGTCGTATAAATATGGCGGAAAATTCAGCTCCTGCTGCTCTGACCGTGATTATTAGCTGCTAGCATCCACTGTCACCAAATTGAGTTCTTCTAAACCTACTGACTTCGCTACCCAGTCCACCAGCTCTGCTTTCAAAATAAAAGCTTGGCTCTGCTTTCACACTCACACACACATTTACTGTGATGTTCATAGAGGAAGTGTCAAAGCATCAGCTGTGGTTTTGTGCGTGTTTGATCACTCTGCATGTGTGTGTATGTGTGCGTAGACATGTTCCCGTGTGGAGTCTGCGTCCGCCTGCTGATGAGAACAGCTGGTGCACAGTCGTCAACAAAGACAAGAGGCTCAGCAACGGAAACGGAGGTGATGGGAAAAACACAAACTCTCACACATTCACGAAAGTTTTTAACTCGCGCACTTAAATGTGTTTCTCCGTCTGTCAGATTGGGAGGAGAGGGGTAAAGGCAGAGGTCGGGGAAAGCCCGTCCCGCCGCCCTCCTCTGTTTCCCAGGCATCAGCGCCAGGCTCCAGTGGGCGTGTGCAGAAGCAGCACTCGTGGCCCCCGCAGGCCACCGTAGATGAGCAGGGAGGGGCCAAACCCAGCAGGTCAGGACGTGTACACACTGAAGCTGATATAATCAATTTAAGATAATATCAGGTGGCTGATTCAAGATGTCACAGCAGAGCCAACAGAGATCAGAATCATTTTTGTTCTCAAACACTTAATATTAAAAGTGTGAACCTGCAAAAAGACAAAAATATGAGCAGAAGTGCATCAAACCAAAGTAAATAGACGTTAAAGATAAATTACTCTTGTCTGAAAGATGAATGTCACAGTTCTAGTGTGTGTTTCTGCAGAAAGTCTTCGAGCTTGTCGGAGTCGGCGCCGTTTGGTCTGACAGAGAAGGAGCGTTTGGCCAAAGAGGAGGAGGAGAGGAACGTGGCGCTGGTTGAGATCCAGCTCCGAGACGAACACAGCTTCCCCGCCCTCGGGGTGAGTTTAAAACACAGACTGGCGTGTTTATTACATCATCAGGATGAGATGACGACGTTAGATAATCTTTATATGAGGACCTGAGTGAAAACAATCATATATTTACAACTGGTGTTAACATCGGTGATCTGATCACAAGTTTACAGCTCGGAGATGAAAAACGATTTTACTCGGTTGAAAGAAAAAGAAAAAAAAAAGTTGAATGTTAATATTGATCACATTTTTATTTCCCTCAGACCGGGTCGCAGGGCGATGGAGGGAGGAAGAAGGGAACGGAGAAGAGACGATCCCAGAGAAACAAGACGGTGAGTGAGTTTTAAAAACGTTCCTGTTAGTGGACTAAAACACAACTCTGCAGTTTTTATTTTAGAAGTCCAGCAGCAGTTTGTTTTAAAACTGAAACATATTCGTATGTGTAGCGGATCAGAGACGTCAGCTGAGTCTGTATCTACGAGTCAGAGAGTTGACTTAGCCTCAGTTTCATGGTCCTGATATCGTGAATGCTGATCAGTCGTGTTGGACTCGGACCTGAGATGCATACGTACAATACAGATTCTTTTGGCGTCACTTCTTCGTCACGTCGTCCATATTTATTCAGTCTATTGTGTCCACTGCTTTTCTTTCACAGAAGAGTCCAGTAGAAGAAATCAGAGCAGCTTCGCCCTCTGCTGGTGAAAGACCCACATCCACCACCCCACCACCTATAAGCACCACAGTCACCACTGCACCTTCTACCAATACCAGGTTCACCAACCCCAACCTACCTGCTGCAAAACCTGCTGCTCCTCCCTCTTCAACCTGCAGCTCCACAAACACAACTGCTGCACCATCAGGCTCCGCCCCTGCCCTGACACCCACCTCTGCTGCACCGACGGCTAAAACAAACGCACACTCTCACACTTCAGCTGCTGGACCGGCAACAAGTTCTGTTCCTCCTGCTGCCGCCCCGAGAGCTAAACCCTCTGTGTCTCAGTCTTTCCCGTGCTCTGCCACTGTCTTCTCCTTCCTCACCCCTGTCCTCCCCACTGCTTCGGCAGCCGTCTCCTCCTCCTCTTCCTCAGTGCCTCCTAAATCGACTGCCTCCCCTCCTCCTCCCTCCTCCATACCACCTCCCACCTTCATTGCACACATCGCTTCCTCTCCTCCTCAGGGCTTTCTCCCTCCGTCCTCGCTCCAACGCTCCTCCCCACCCGTCTCCTCTCTCCCCCACTCCCCCAGTCCACCCCCGTCTTCCTCCTCCTCTCTTATCCATCATGCTGCTCAGGTCCGAGAGGCTCCGACACAAACAGCAAGTAAGAAATCTCAGTAAGACCTCGACATTCACGCAGGTAATATCACTCTTGGTCTTATAAGTTTCACATCTCTTCCCTCGTTTCAGATCCTTTACCAAATTCTGGAGGCTCTGTGGTGAAATCTCAGACGTCCCTGACCCAAGCCTCATTGACCCAGGGAGATGTTCAAACGCAGCCAAAGATTCAGACTCAAAGTCAGGCTTCTCCGATCCAGAGCCAGATGCAGATCGAGGTCCAGTCTTTGATTTCCCTCCAGCACCAACCTCAGCCCCTCACTGAAGTGCCACAAAACCAGGTGTCTGTCCTCCCTCAGACCCAGACGTCTGTCCTCCCTCAGACCCAGACGTCTGTCCTCCCTCAGACCCAGACGTCTGTCCTCCCTCAGACCCAGA